AATTTTTATATAAAATAAAAAATAATAATGATAATAAAATTAGCTAGTACTAAATACTAATACAACATTTGTTATTTATTTAAATTACGAGTGAGCATTGACAAGAATTTTCTACAAGAATGATCTGGTGAATTAAACAAAGAAAATTAGCACTTACTAAGACATAAAATGATCTAAAATTAGTTACATTAGTTTTGTAAGCTAAATATAATACATTCTTTAGGTATTATGCAAGGTTGGTAACATATAAATTTTAAATATTAGTCAGAATTTATACGCGGCGAATAATTTCTAACATGACAATTATTTTCGTCTAATAATATTCCACATCATAGCAAGTTATCTGGATCTACTGTTCTAATGAACTCATGAATCTCTTTAATTTTTTTATTTTATAAAAACTTATACGCGGCAAATAATTAACTCTTCCGATACATTTGTTTCTCAGGAGGTTAGTTAAAGAAATAACAACTATTTTCATATATGCATACATGTAATCATCATGATCATCAAAACTGTACTATAAAAATCTAAATAAAGTAAACAATTATGCATCTAACTCATAATTTAAATATATACTTTTCATATAGTACTTGTAATATAAATAAAAATTATTCTTTTCAGATTACGTGCTTAAGTCCCTGATATGGGACCTACATATTTTTGATTTCTTACCATATTAAGTTTATATCATTTCTTAAATTATCAATTCAGAATAACTCAATTTGTAAATCACATCATACTAGTATTAATTTTATGAAATGCACTCTGTCATGTCAAATGTTGAAAATAACTATGTAAATAATTTTATATGTAGCTTACCTTTTAAAGAATAATCATTTTTATTTTTTTTTTATGAGCGAAGCCTAAGATTATTAAATCAACAGAATTGATTATTACAATATATATGAGTATATTATTTGATATTTTTTTTTAAAATAAGGTATTTTAAATGCTTATAAATTATTATTCGTAATAAATTTTAAATTATAAAAGGATTAAAAAAAAAATACAACAACAAAAAAAACAACAAAATTAACAAAATGCCTTTCTTAAATTTCCTCAATAGACTTGAAGAAAAATTTTTTAATATCATACTCACTTATTTGAATATAAGAACTATGCTCAATGAGCTCATCAAAACTCAAACACAGCTAAGAAACTATAAGAATCAAGTTTTTTATTACTGTTCAGAAGCAATAGAAATTATTCTTAAGATTTATGAGAATCTCGGGTTAAACGTTGAAGAAAAGAATATTCTCACATTGATGGATAATATCAATGAAAATATTTTTGAAATGAAAGAAAGATTGCAGAAAATCTGCGATAATTTAAATATAAATTATAATAATGACGACAGAGTTTTGTTTTTGATACTTAAAACTTGTAAGGAAACCGAAAATTATTAGAATTTCTCTATTTTTTTTCTTAAATAACTTTATCTTATTAGAAATGGCAAAAATCTAATTATGTTTATAAGTTTTAAATTAAGCTTTATTATTATGATTATATTTGTTTTTTTTTTACTTTATTTATTTTATATGTTTACTCTTAATATTAAATAAACTATCTTTTTAAGGCTTCTAAAAATGCTGACCAGAGATTGTCACGATATTTGTGGCGCCAAATGAATTCTTTCAAATATTCTTCAATACCTTCCTTATTTCTATTTCGTTCTGATATGATCAGCTTGAGTCCATTCCAAGTACCTCTAAAAAGTTGTATATTAAAATATTATTGATATTGATTTATAAAAAAAAAAAAAAATAATAATAACAATTACTCGATTGTGTTGCTGTGAATTCCAAAAGTTTCTCCTTGACCACGTGAATGATTTATTTTTCTGTAAATTATGTCTAATCCTTGTAGTTGATATAAGACCCCGAGCAATCTATATACAGCTAAGATTTTTAAAAAATCTTAACAAATTACTAAAAAAGTAAAAGATCTGTATAAAAATAGTTAAAAATAAGCATATATATTACTAAAAATAGTAAAGATCTGCAAAAAATAGTCAAAAATAAGCAAAAATAAATTCTAACCTATCTATGTATAGCTCAGAGGCCTGTTGATATGCTTTCCAACAGTTGGTAAATACTATAGATTTTGGTTTCACTTGATTTTTTTTATTATTCGTCTTAACGTTGAAGTGTTTCTATCTTTAACCACTTTGAAATAACATTTTTTTTCTTCTGTTCTCTCTACAATCCCGACTACCCAAAAGTTTTAAACAGACTCTCATCGATTTCTACTATACCCTATCTCCACCTAACAAAAAATCATCTTCTACAAATGAATTATTTACTAATTCTCTAAATAATTTTACATATCTTACAATCGTAGATGATGAATAAGATATCATGTTTGTTATTGAATTATAATTTACTTTACAAAGCCAGAAATATGCTATTAATAATATATTATTAGAATCTAACTGATTATTTGAAAAAAATAAATCATTATATATTGAAATCTCTTTTCTACATTCCAGATTACCGCATCTAAATAATAATTTTTTTACTTTGTTCATCTTATTATCGCAATACTAACACCTTTTAGGTTGTTTAATAATCTCATTTTCAAATAAAAATTCTATCGATCTTTTCTCATCGAAGAGAATTTTTTGTAAAGATTCTAAACTAGATACAGATTTTATTTTTAAAAATTAAGACATAAAATTAAAAAAAAATAAAATTAAAAGAATAAAATTTAAAACCATTTTTGATTCTTTCAAGATCGAGAGTATTTTTCTTCGTGATAGTTCTGTTACCAGATGAATTTACAGTATCTTTGTGTAGGGATGGAGATAATCTTGAAATAATTTCTTGATTCATTTTGGTCGACATATTTAGGATTTACAGATGTATTTTATACTTAGCATTCGCTATTTATCATTATTGATAAGAAACTTGTTTTTAACAAGTCCAATAAAACGGAAACATTTTTTAAATAAATAAATAGATATATAAGAATTAAAACTAGGTTTACTAACAAGATTTGTTTCAAGTTATCTAGTATAATATTGAAATTGTTACCCAGCCTTGGTCGGGGGTTCAGAATTGAGCTATTTTTTTAAGTTATCTTGTGTTTTAACAAGATAATTACTGCACTTCAAGTTCAAGATAAATTTTAGAAACTATTTGAGATCTTTATTTAAAACAGCTTAATCAAAAAAAAAACTGAGATGCCTGACATTATTTAATCAATAAACATCACCATTTTTGTAAAATATTATTTGGTAGTAGTGTAAAATTTAAAAAAGCTAATGGCGGTACACATGTTGGTGATTTAAAGATAAAACAACTTCATGCTATGTAGTGTGAATGAACTGCTATAATTAGATAGTCAATAGATTTATCATATTTAAAGTTGATATTTTTTATTATAAAAATTGTGAATTTATAAATATCACATGATATAGCTTACTTTCACTCGCATTCAGTCAAAAGTTTTGACGAAATTTCATGTAAAATAAACTTTTCAGGTTTTTGTTTTAATAAAAATATTACTATTATTATATCTGATACTAATTATGTTTGATTCGGATTTATATAATGTGGCTTTTAATCTAACAATCTTTTTTGATAGAAATCATGTGAAATTTTATTTCGTTTGCGTGATGCTCTAAAAAAAGAATGAAAATTCGTGGCAATTGACTAAGAGATTATCTCTTTTGAATTATACAATATCAAATGAGAGCTTACAAATTCTATTGCCATATATTTAAGCCAAATTGACACCAATATAAAAAACTACTCCAATTTTAAGTTCAATTCTGGTTTTATGTTACATATACTGTAGAAGTTACATAAATTTATGCATATTTATAACTGATTCTATTTATGTACAATTACTATTATTACTGAAAAAATTATCATTATATTAATAAAAAGTTTTTTTTTGTTATGTATAAAGTCACATGATGATAGCAATTGCAACAATTAATGCACATTTGCGAAAAATTAGGTCCTGAGAATTTTTTTTTTTGAAAAACAAGTTTTTTTATAATTATTATTATGGCGTGTAATACATGTACTAAGTCTCAAAAATGCTGCGCGATAATGCATTCAGTCTTGAGAAAATGTAAAAACTTCTCTTTTTTGATTCATATAAACAAGTTTTTGTACAATCATTAAAGAAGATTGTTTATAAGAATAAGTTATGCAGAAATTGGATTTAAAGAATTTATTTAAATCGATAGAATTACCTTTCAGGCTGTGCAGAAATTGCAAAATGGATTTCTTCAATATCATTTGCTATCTTACAATATTTTTATATTTTTGTTATTTATATTCTATTATCGATTTGCTTATTTATATATCCAAAACAGAATACTCTCAAGAAGTATTTGATTTAGTAAAGCAAATTAACACAAAAGAAGAAAAAAATAAACCAAAAATTGAACACCTTCAAGAGCCAAAAATA